AAAGGTCCCTGATACTTGCTCACTGTGAGGGTGCTATCCCTCAGGGTATTGAGTGGGCAGATCAAGAACGTGAATCTTCTTTGGAAACCCGACAAGATTAGATGTGGTGTTGATAAATATGTAGGTATGCTTTGGTGGCTGGGCCCCGGGTCATCTCAAGCCTCCAGATACCAGCTGTAATCAATTCAGGCTGTGGCAGAGAGAGCTCATGTTAGTCAGCAGTAGAGTCCAAATCCCCAGGAAGAAGCATAGCTTTCATAAGGCCAACGTCAGACGTGCACTGCAGTCCTGACATTGCTCTCCTGATCCGAGCCAGGAGGACCTCCCCAACCTCCAGAGCAGTCGGTAGAGTTCATGTACCACACACCTAGACAGATCATGGGTGGTGGTTTTGGAGGTCTTGACTGTAGACTGTATCTGGGATGTGAGATAACCAAGCCAAAGAGGAGGACAGACAAGGTGCTGTTGAACATGAAAGTGTGGACCACGGCTCTGACTGCACGGGAAGTGGCACTAGCCCTGCAGTGGCCTCTTCCAGGAAAGAGTTCTGAAACAAACCAACCCTGGGCAGGCTCTGCAGGGGACAGGGCAGAGGCAGCCCACTGTGCCTTATGTGCCCAAGTATCAAGCAAGATGGAAAGCTGGGGGCAGACAGAAAATGGAGGGCATGGGAGGGAAAGGTGGTATTTCAGATGGTGTGAGGTTGCAGGGCCTTTGAGGATAAGGTAAACTAGGTTCTGAATATTGGTACCAGCAAAGTAAGTTCCAGAAAAGTGAAAACCTTAAATATAAAACAATAATTTAAAAAACAACTAGAAGGTAATGGTATAGTTTAAACTGTCTTTGTTGTTGGTGGTGGTTGTTTTCACTTGGGTTTTTTGGGGGGGGGGTTGCTGGAGATTTAATCCAGGATCTGTTTCCTGTACATACCCTCCACCCCTTTTAGTATCTGAAGTGCTGGGACCAGCTTTTGTGTGTGTGTGTTTTTTTTTTTTTGTTGTTGTTTTTTGTTTTTTTAATTTTTGAGACAGGGTTTCTCCATAGCTTTTGGTTCCTGTCCTGGAACTAGCTCTTGTAGACCAGGCTGGCCTCGAACTCACAGAGATCCGCCTGCCTCTGCCTCCCAAGTGCTGGGATTAAAGGCGTGCGCCACCACCGCCTGGCCTTTTTTGTGTGTTTTAAGAGCGTGTCTCACTGTGTAGCTCAGATTTGCCTGGACCTCGCCTTGTTGATCCAGCTGTCCTTGAACTCACCGAGATCTGCCTCTCAAGTGTTGAGACTGAAGGCACGCGCCACCACTCAGCTCCCACCCACTTATTATTTCTTTGTGTATGTGTATAAGCATGTATGTATGTATGTGGCATGTGATACAGCACATGTATGGAGGTCAGAGGACAACCTGTTAGAGTGGTTCTCTCCTTCCACCCTGTGGGATCTTGGGGGATTCAAACCAGGTCATCGGGCTTTTAACAAACACCTTTACTCACTGAGCCGTCTTGCTTTTCTTTGTGTTTATTTTAAGACTGTATCTGATTGTATAGGCCAGGGCGGCCTCACATTCTGTAGTCTTCTGCCAATTGCTGGGATTTCAGGAATACACCACTACATGTAGCATGATCAGTAAAAACCCAGAGACAGATACAACTGCAGGACCAGGCAGGACAGAAACTTCCGTCTACAACTACATCCAGCTGGGCGGTGCTTTTGACAGCTATTGGGACCGATGAGTTGCTAGATTATAACAGTCATGGAGGAGAAGCTGGTGCCCATGCAGCTGCCCTGCTGGATAACAGACTGCCTGGCTGGGTAGCAGGGCCATCACAAGTCACTCACATGCCCACTACCTTGTAGATCTTGGAACCAGGCCGCAGGGAGCGTCTGGGTCTGAAGATGGCCAATGAAGCAGCTGCCAAAAACCGGGCCAAGAAGCAGGAAGCATTGCGGAGAGTCACAGAGAACTTGGCCAGGTGAGAGGCAGCTGGACCTTTGGGTAGGAAGGGTAGAGATGAGTTTGTGCCCGTCTCACTCAGCCTCTAAGACCATGTGGGTACATGACTTGCAGGACAGAGCCCAGGGTGTATCTACAGGGTTCTTCTGTGAGGGCTGTGGCTGTGTATGGAGCAGACTGTGAGGCACTCTCTGTCTCTCAGTATCTTCCTTGGCCTTCTTTAGGCTCCTTGCCTGGCTGTGAGCTCCTGTTAGTTAGTTCTGTGGAGTCAATGTCATTCACGTTGGAGAGAGTTGGAGACTCCAGCTCCCAAAAGTCCGCGTTCCATCCAGTCCCACAGGCAGAGGTAGCTGTTCCACAGATCTGACCTGACTGCTTTGTGCCCAGTGTTGTCCTCCTCAGCTCAGAGTGACCATATCTCTTGACAGGGCTCCTCCTGAGAAACTGAGGGAGGCCTTGCCTTGAGCAGCACCTGGCCTCTAACAAGGTTGCTTTTTTCTGTCCCTTCTCTACAGTCTTACTCCCAAAGGCCTGAGCCCAGCCATGTCCCCAGCCCTCCAGCGCCTCGTAAGCAGGACAGCCAGCAAGTATACAGATCGTGCCCTACGGGCAAGCTATACACCATCCCCAGCACGTTCTACCCAACTCAAGACCCCAGCTGGTGGGCCACAGACCCCGACAAGCACACCAGCCCCTGGGTCTGCCACCCGCACACCCCTCACACAGGACCCAGCCTCCATCACAGACAACCTGCTGCAGCTTCCTGCCCGGCGCAAAGCTTCAGACTTCTTTTAGAACCAGGCCTGGCCGGGCCTATGGATGCTTTGTGGGACACTTTGTAGAGCGTATACGACAGCTGTCTACTCTTCAGAGGACTCCAGGCCTTGGAGAGCCAGACCACAGGCACCACAAGTGTGTAGTGCTGTGCCGTGGCCAGGTTGGCACGTCACGCTGACCACTCCCCTTGGGAGTATAGCATTGGTGCTGTCCCCCAAGGCCCTGCTGAAACTGAACCCTCATTAAAGAACACCTGGCACCATCTGGCTGGGCTGCCGATCCATATCCTGGGGCCCACCTGGGTGTCTCAGGACCTCAGGACTAAGAAGCAAGGGGCTCTGGGGGAGGAGATGTGTAGCTGACAGAGCTGCCTTCTATGCTGAGTTCACACCTGAGCCTTCCACTGTGAAGGGTAGCTCAGACCCCAAAAGTTATGCCATTGCACTCATGGGTTCTGGGTCCAGCTCGGCAGCTCCCAGCTAGGCCTGACTATCTGGATTGTTGGTCCTGTTTATCAGGCTAACACCAGGACAAGTCACTTTCTGTGACTTCAGCTCTTACCTCCTAGCACCTAACTTCTAGCTCAGGTAGGCCTGCAGTACCTCCCCGCCCTCATCTCTGCTTATCCCAGTGTTCTCGACACTTGCTCCTGGGCTCTGCCAAGACACCGGCCTCACCTCAGTCTGGGCTGTGATATGAAAAGATGAATTTGGTTCGCTGTAAACCTGTGAATGCCATGTGCACCAGCAGCCTGCTCTTTGCTTGTGGACTAAGGGTAACTAGCCCTCAGGTGACTAGTGACCTACTGGGCCCATGAGCCTATGCCTTACAAAGGTGAAGAGTCCCTAGTGTCTGGGCCTATCAGAGTCTGAAACTATGATCTAATTCCCCATCCAATGGTCTTGAAGCTGCTGCTGGTGTCACAGGGCTTGAGCTATTCAGGTAGCCTAAAGCACACCTGACTCTTCTTAGCCCCAGACCCTGCTTTGATTCCATGAGAGCCACCTTTCAAGTCTGCTGGCATTGGTCCACTCAGGCCTCTGCACTGGTGTTCTCTGGAAACCACCTGGATTGGGTACTCCCTGCCTTGGCTCTTGTTCTGCCTGGTGTTTGTCTGTTTGACACAGCTGGAGTTACCCTAAGAGGAAGGAACCTCAACTGAAGAATTACCTCTCATCAGACTGACCTGAGGGCATGTCTGGGGGGGCATTTTCTTGATTGCTAACTGATGTCGAAGGGCCGGGCCCTGCAGCGGCATACCTGGGTGGTGGCCCTGGGGTGTAAGAGCCTGGGAGTAGGCTAGAGAGAAGCCAAGAAGCAGCGGTCCTCCATGGTCTGGCTTTGGGTCCTCCTTGGGCTCTTGCTCTGGCTTCCCTCAGTGATGGACCGTGACCTGAAAGTGTGCACTGAAATAAACCATTTCCTCCCCTAAGTTATTTTTGGTGAAAGTTTTTATCGTGGCATCAGAGACAAACTAGGTCAGGCCTCTGCTAGCCAGATGTCCCCCGTGAGTTCCTGTGCCCTGGGAGCCTCAGTACTGGAACTGGGATCTCAGGCTAGGGAGTTTGTACTTTTGTCTCTCAGGGAAGTTGAGCTTTAATCTAAGGGGTTCCCCGAGTGAGTGGGAAGCAGAGACAGGAGATGGGAGCATGCGTGCTGCCTAGGTGCTGACCCCCTCAAGCATTTGATCAGTGTGAGGGACTCTTCAGGGAAGGATGTAACCAGGAATGGCATCTAGACACTTTGATTGAAGAATGCTGGGGGTTGGGCCATTGCAGGTCGACAGGATGGGGAAGATAGCAACAAGCTGTCAGCTGGGCCACCCCATTCCTGGGGATGGGAGGGTGAGGCTTGAGCAGTTTTGATTGTCTCTGAGGTTAATGGATACTGACCACTGGGGAGGAACAAGGCAGGGTCAGGGTAGCTTATATTGTATTAGTTAAGGAAGAAACATGGAGCTGTCCAGGTCTGGAAGCCTTGGGGGTGGGAGAAGGCCAGAGGCTGACAAGCGTAAGCCTGGCAAAGGACTATAGCAGAGGTCCCCTCTACCACAGGCCTCACTGAGTCTGCCTGGGCCTGAGTATGCTGGACATCCCCGCGCTGGATGAGTCCTAGAGAAAAAGACTCCTCACTGGGCACTCTGAATGCTTGTATATACTTTGTGATTTATTTGGTGGTCAGTAATTAATGTCTTTGCTACTAAGTGGAAAAAAGCTAATAGAACGTAATCAAAATAGTGGTTTAATTGACGGATTTTACTTATTCCTTGCGCCTGTGCCTTCTTCAGCTCTAACCTGCCTATTTAGCTTATGTGAGTGCAAACTGCACACCATGATCCCCCAGCGCCCTCTCCACTAGGTACTTGCTTTCCCCACCTCAGCTCCAGAGATGTGATGGTCTTTAGCTCTGGAAGTCTCAGCCAGCCTCTCCTCCATCCTGTCTTCATTCTCAGATGATACCAGCATCCGGTGCTGGGGTTTGGTTGCCAGTTTGTGGTCAGGCCGGTGTTCGGGTCTTGAGCCCGGTCGAGTATCCAACTTGCAATCAGCTCGATACTTGCCCTCCCCCTCCCTCTTGAGGGAAGCAGAAGACATGGCTTTGGGCTTGGGAGGCTGTAGCCATGAGTGGCTGAGGATCTCATCAATGTGCAGCCGCCGGTTGACATCTGGCTGCAGGATGCGATAGATGAGGTCCTTGCACTCACCAGTCAGGTTCTTGGAGCGTGGGAAGTCCACTCGGTGCTCCTTCTGGATGCGCAGCATCTTTTTGATGTCAGAATCATCGTAGGGCATGGAGCCACAGACCATGATGTAGAGGATCACACCTAGGCTCCAGATGTCATATACCTTGGGCTGGTAGGGGATGCCCTGCAGCACCTCGGGGGCTGCATAAGCTGCTGACCCACAGAAGGTTTTGCTGAGGACGATGCGCCCGCTCCCGTCCCGCAGGCAGCGCTTGGAGAAGCCGAAGTCAGACAGCTTGATGTTGAAGTCCTTGTCAAGCAGAAGGTTCTCGCACTTGAGGTCTCGGTGAACAACATCCAGATCGTGGCAATACTTGACGGCTGAGGAGAGCTGGCGGAACATCTTGCGTGCTACATCCTCATGCAGGGCTCCTCTGCACTTGATGAACTCAAGGAGGTCACCCTGGACACCCAGCTCCATGACAATGTAGATGCGTCCATCAGAGGTCTCAAAGATCTCATAGGTCTTAATGATAGAACGGTGGTTGACGGTCGCCAGGATGTCCATCTCCCTAGGAAGGAATCTCTCCACAAAGTCCGTGGGTGTTTTCTTGCGGTCTATGATCTTGACTGCCACGTTGAACTTGAGGCGCTCAGAGTAGGCAGATTTGACTTTTGCATAGGAGCCCTTGCCCAGGTTGATTCCCACGATGTAACCCTTCTTCCTTAGGACCGCGGCATCGTCCATGGTGTCAGGAGCAGCCGGTGCCGCCTCCCTCTACATCCCCTCCCCACACGGGCCAGCAGGCATGGTCCTCATTCCCACTGTGGGGAGGTGTCTGGTTGGGCTGGGCTTGGACTTGGAGGAGTGGAACGCTCAGCATTGTCACCAAGTGACCAGCGAGTGAAGTCATAAAGCCAGGCTGCTAGGAGTAGGGACTAGGCTTTGGGGAATGGGGCCCCTGGAAGGCAGGAAGGCCTAGAAGGAGCACCCCCTCCCCACCCACTGGAATGAAGCTGGCATTCAGGCCTGTGGTAACCCTCCCTGGCCCTCTTTCTTGCTGTGGCTTTCTTGTCACCAGTGAGGCCCTAAGGGAGGTGATCCAGGTCTAGTCCCAAGCCTGGCCCTGTGTTTGTCATTTTACTGGAGCCAATCCCCTGCTGCTTCTGTGGGGTTGGAAGAAACATTCCTGTGAGCTTATGGAAGCTTCCCAGATTCAGTCAGTCCAGTGGTGGTCCAGTCTGCTGGATGAAAGCAGTTCCATGTTTGGGGTCAGGAGTTGGCAAGGGTCTTTGGGCAGAGTGAGCAGATGAGTCACAGACCTGGTAAACAGGAGTGGTTGGGTGGGTGGGAGGGTAGGTAGTGCTAGGGTTGTTCTGAGCAGCCAGGATAGACAGATGCATGTTCAATGAGGTAGGGCAGGTGTGGAGGATGGGGCGAGCTTCAGCTAGGTACAAAAGCTGCTAAGATATCCAGGCAAGCAAGTGCTGAGAATGGCTAAGGTATAAGTCAGGAAAGACGAGAATATCATGAGCTTTTCTCTAAAGGATGGGCAGGCCTTATACAACCCGAGTCCCTTTTAAGATGGTTGCTGTTAGAAAATCCAGCTGGCTTTGGGATGTATGTAGAGGCCCAGGACCGTGGACCAGAGCAGGTCTCTGAGGGTCAAGGGTGGGGGAGTTGGGAATAGCCAGCCTAAGCCTTTTTCCAGAAGGAGGGGACTGTGTTGGGCTTGGTGTTGTATGACCCAGGAGTTGATGGCCTTTAGCACTGTCCATAAAGAGCAAGCTTCTGAGTAGAGGTTTTGTGAGCAGTGAGCAGGGATGACATGATGAACTGCTGTGGCATGGCCCCCCATTTGCGTGTTGGACTGTCTTGTATTTTGTGCACAAATGTTTGTTTTGCAAAGTGGCATCCTGTATAATCTTGGCTACTTTAGAAGTCCTGTGATCATTTTCACATCTCACAGGAGTCTTACGCTTACAGTGAGCTGCCAAGACGTGATCCAAGGATGCTGTGTTCAGAGGGAAAGCAAGAAGGCCTGTTTCTAGTGGGGGAGGTGGGCCAGAAGGCTTCCAAGAGGAAGTGACATAACCCAGGTACAGAGGAGCCACCAGGTAGTCAAAAGGGAAAAGATGACACGAGGAACAAGAATGCACCATAGAAGCCACCCTGAAGTCCTGTCCTGGTCCTCAAACCTCCGAGTACCACTCCAGATAGCTGTCAGATTCGGCAGCTCACATGAATGGTTAGGCTACTTGTAGAGGACTGGGCTCAGTACTTGCGCATCATACTCTGGGTGCTGTACTTTCTGGTAGGAACCCACCTTCTCTGAGCTATTTCTATACCTGTAATGCACATAGCACGAGCTCTTGCATCTCCTTGCTACCCCAACTGTCTCCTACTTGAATTTCAAGCAGCCTCAAGTCCTGTTGGTGTCTTCTGTCCCCCAAATCATGAAAGACTACAAGAGATGAGAGGGGAGAAATTCTTCTTGGGGCACCCCACCACTACCCAGTCCCATATGTCCTAGAGCCTTCTGCCCCATCCAAGTTCCTTCATAGGGCTTCTCCAGTCTCACTCTCACCAGTGTTACTCAGGGTCAGCACCGTGCCTCAACCATGGATACTTGGTCCTCACAGGCAAAAATCACAGAAGCAGGCTAAGAATGTCGCTTGGCCCTAGAAGGCTTTGAGGAGGACAATGTCCCTTAGGTGAGTTTGGGGAGATGAACACAGCCTTCAGAGCTGAACTGGCAAGTATGCTTATGGCACATGTGTTGGGGTGCAGGGATAAGGGGCTGTTGATGGGCAGATTAGAAGCCAGCACTGAAATCCTTTCTGAGGGTGGTCGGATGTAACCTAGGTGATTATAACGCTGGGAGATTATAGGTAGAACAGCAGACAGTGGGGTGAAGGTGGGCTGGATGAGGTGGGTGGATGTAGGAAGAACATTCAGGAACTCACAGGATCCCACTTCTCTAGAGTAAATTGGCATGGGTGTCTTCTCAAGGTAGAGACATTGGTGGGGGCAGGGTTGAGATGAGTCTAAATGTTATTTTTGTGTATTAAACCCTTAGACCTCCTTGAGGTTGCCCAGAGTGAGCTGAAGAAAAAGGGGCCACGACAACAAGGTGAGGACTGCTTGGGACATGGTGTAAGCAAGACAGGAAGCACATGGCAGCCCATGGTGCCAGATGCAGGCCACGCCCATGTGGAACACCAGAAGCTGCCATGTGGAATGCCTTTCTTGCCCATAGGGTTCAGACATGCTGCCAATTTTGCTTTGCCCAGGTCAGCTTCCAGCTCTGACTGGGGGCATCTCCTCTGGAACGGATTAAGATTGGAAGAGACCAGGATGCAGTCAAAACTACCCATGACTGTAGGACATGCTTGGGTTAACTAGCAGAGCCCCCTACTTCTGGGCTGAAAAATGATGGTGTGGAGCAACCAAAGGCACAGTTGAGAACTGGTTGTCAGCTGGACAAGGAGGAACATGCCCCATGATGAGCAGAGCTGAAAACAGTTGCCAAGAAAGTTGGGAACCAACCAAGGTACTTTGGGGGTCCACCACCGTCTGTAGTCTTTCTCCAGACCCTCACAGGTGTGTGCAGCCGAGAGCCCCAGGGTAGTGATGAAACACCTGCCTGGCCCCTGAGCTCCTGATGCAGCCAGTGCAAGCCCTCCAGTGCAAGAGAGGGCTCTGGCTGCCTACCCTTCCTCTGCAGGCTGCCAGTGTTCAACCTCCTTGTCTTTTCTCCACCCTTCTCTGCGCTTCTTGGCTTCCCTCTAGAAGTTGTGTCCTCCTCAGTCATTATTCCTGGCTTCTGTCCCTCCAAATGCCCCCCCAGCCAGCCTCTGACTGGTGCTGCTAACTCAATTGTGACCTGAGGGTACAGTTTAGGCTAGAGGGTGGGGAATGGATTTCCTTATGAATGAGGATTTGCAGTCTGATAGGAAGCCACGGGGAGCCCAGGACTAGGGTCTGCATCAATATAGTGATTTATTGCTTCTTTAGCCATGTGAGTTACCAAGTTCAAAGGGGGGGAGAAGTGATGAAAATAGCAGCTCCTCCGGGACTTGTCTTCCTTCTCTCTCTCTCATCCCTTGACTTCTAGGCTCAGGCTTCAAGCCAGAGCGGTGCCTCATTCCCTGCTGGCCCCCTGGGCTTGCAAGGGGCTCACTAGGTATGTGTCTCTGAAGACTGTTGGGGGTGCCCTTCCTCTGTCTCCCTGTTCAATTCACCGCTGAGGCCCACGGTCTCTGACTGCCTGGCCACTTGCACAGTGTCTTCCTGGGGTTTTGTCTCAGGTTGGGTCTCGGATCGTGCCTCTTCCCTAGGCTCCACCTTGGTGGCAGACTTATCAGCACCAGTGGGTTCAGGGGTCCATAAGGGCTCAGTTGCCCGGGAGCTTTCCCCCTCTTTGTTGACGGCTCCAGAGGACAGACCTCGTGCCTTAGGCTGCACCCAGCAGTGGCTGAGGATCTCATCAATGTGCAGCCGCCGGTTGACATCTGGCTGTAACATTCGGTAGATAAGGTCCTTGCACTCACCAGTCAGGTGTTTAGAGCGTGGAAAGTTGACTCGGTGCTCCTTCTGGATGCGCAGCATCTTTTTGATGTTGGAGTCGTCATAGGGCATGGAGCCACAGACCATGATGTAGAGGATCACACCTAGGCTCCAGATGTCATATACCTTGGGCTGGTAGGGGATGCCCTGTAGCACCTCAGGGGCCGCATAAGCTGCTGAACCACAGAAGGTCTTGCTTAATGTCAGTCGGCCACTATCATCACGCAGGCAGCGCTTGGAGAAGCCGAAGTCAGACAGCTTGATGTTGAAGTCCTTGTCAAGCAGAAGGTTCTCGCACTTGAGGTCTCGGTGAACAACATCCAGATCGTGGCAATACTTGATGGCCGAGGAGAGCTGATGGAACTTCTTTCTAGCATCATCCTCTTGCAGGGCTCCTCTGGTTTTGATGAATTCAAGGAGGTCACCCTGGACTCCAAGCTCCATGACAATGTAGACCTTGCCGTCTGATGTCTCAAAGATCTCGTAGGTCTTGACAATAGAGCGGTGGTTTAGCATGGCCAGAATCTCAATCTCCCGGGGAAGGAATTTCTCCAGGAAGTCCGTGGGGGCTTTCTTGCGATCGATGATCTTGACCGCCACGTTGAACTTTAGGCGCTCAGAGTAAGCGGATTTGACTTTGGCATATGAGCCCTCTCCCAAATTTATCCCCATGATGTAGCCTCGTCGCTTGAGGACGGCAGCGTCATCCATGGTTCCGGGAGTGCCCAGTGCCTCTGAGGCTGCCCTCTACATCCCTGCCAGACATGGGCCAGCAGCGTCCTCATTTACACTGTGGACAGAGAGTCCTCTGAGCTGGCCAGGCCTGCTGTCCCTGCCTCCTAAGAGGCCAAGACTCTAGCATGGAACATTCAGCACTGTCTCCGGGGTGACTTCAGTGGGTGAAGTCACAAAGGAGTACTGCCCTGGGGGAAATGAGGCTATTACCTGAGCCACTTGTACGTGGAACCTGAGAAAGGTCTGCCAGTGTACGGGAACAGACTAAAAGTGAACAAAATGGCTCCATGCTTGGCTCCAGCCGGAGGTAAGAGAGGGTTATGGGACACAAAGTTCTGCCCATGTTTCTAAACCTAAAGACTGAACTATGTAGAGGCATGGCTCATTATTGCAAACCAGATCAATCCAGGGGATCGAGGGTGGGTGGTCCTGTCTGTCAAGGACCCCAACAGGAAACAGAAGATAGTCTCAATTAAGGATAATCAGAAGAAGTCTAGGTAAGGGGATGCTTCACAAAGGTGGGAGCAAAATGTAGGGAACCCTGTAATGCAGTTCCCTAGGGTTGGGGAAGGAAATGGAGAGCACCACTCTCCGCAGGCCAGTGATAAGGAAACCATTTGTGACCTGCACCCCTTCTGCTCTTGATGCTGTCTGCATAGGCAACCCTCAAAGGCACATAACAGGGCTGAGAAGGGTGAGGGTTCTCCTAAAACACCTTTCTTCAGATCCTTGATCACCTCTGGCCCAGTGTTTGTCACCATTTGGGGTAACACAGTGTTCTCACTGCGGGCTCAGTAGGACTTTACCCTGTGCTGCTCCTCTCACGCAAACCTTTCCTGGTCTCACAGAGGCACCACAGGTGGACAGCTGCAGGAATTGGCTGTGAGTTCCCTCCTAAGGGCCTGCCCAACCCATGGCTCTGGCTGGGCTCCAGGGGCAGATTTGGAGTGGGCTTGGTATGGGGGCAGAAGGCTGGGCCTGGATCTTGTACTGAGTGCTGGGAATGTGCCACTGGGACCGTCCAAGTGCCAAGGGCAGTGCTGGATAGGTATCTTTGCTTCTGCCAGCAAGGGGCTCTCCCTCTGTTGTGACAAGATTTGAGTCCAACATCTGCCCTGGGGAAGACCTATGGAATTTGGAATATCTGATGGTCTGACCTAATCTTGGGTTTGAATTTGGCTTTATCTACTTGTTAGGAGTTAGCATCCCTCACTCACATGGCTCCATGATTCCAGATTGGAATCCCAGGACTTGGTGGAGGCACTGAAGTGAGTTAGGTATGCTGGAGGTGGCTGGCTTTCCCCCTTTTCACTTCCTTTCCTGGAGCTGATCATCCTCTGCCGGGGCTGTACAAAGGTGGTGGTCCTTCCCCGGAACAGATCGCTGCTCCATCTGCTGTCTCTCCTTCCACGTTCATGCTGTTCATGAGGGTAGTTGTGAGGTCAGCACTTGGAACCTTGTTTCTAGACTTTAGCCTCATCTCTGCCTGAACTTTTCTCCTTCTTTGTATAGGCAGGACCTTTCCAAGATTTGATCCGAAGGATCTGGGCTTCTCTGTTATTCTCTCTGACATCCCTTAGGCCATTTCCTCCTCTGTTGAAATTGTTTTGTGTTCCTTCCCCATTCTCAGAGTTCACTTTCTTCACGGAGGTTGGGCCTTTAGAAGACCGCCTTAGGGTGTATGTTGGGCACTGGGGCAGACCTGGGCCTCCAGGAGTAAAGATCATTCATGCCCTGTGCTACCTCCTCAGTTCTCTAATCGCAGGTCCCCACTCCTACCTCCTCCAGACCAGGGGCCTACACTGTTGATCCTTGTGATCCCCACAAAGCACCAGGGATCCCTTTGGTCACCTAGCCGCCTAGGTTCAGTCCCGAGCCCCGCTTCTTGACTCAGCCAATGGCACGCCTCATTTTCTATAAGCCCGCCCCAGACCCCGCCCACTACCGCCCAGGCCCTCGGCCTGGCCTCTTTTCGGCCCTCCTGCTCACGCCCCGCCCTCGTCTGGAGCGCTACCGTCTTGCCCTCCCTCCGCCTCCCCGCGCCCGGCTCGGCGTTCATTGGTGAGTGTGGGCTGGAGGCGGGGTCGCGCGGGCCCGAGCAGGACAGCCGCCATCTTGCGCGAGCCGGAATCCCGTCCCGCTTTTGCGGCCTAGAGTGCGCACGGGTCGGCGGCATTCCCTTGCAGCCGCCCAGCGTCGCCGCGGCCCAGCTGGATCCCTCGCCCGCCACCTTTCTACCCCCGGCCGGAGTCCGGCCCTCACTCCCTCATCTGGGCCAGGTCCGGCCTCCCCGCGGGGTCTCGCGGCTGCCCCGGGGACGATGAACGGAGGATAAATGGTGCCCAAGGCAGACAGCGGTGCCTTTCTGCTGCTCTTCCTGCTGGTTCTCACTGTCACCGAGCCGCTGCGGCCAGGTGCGCGGCGCTGGGGGTGGGGGCGCGGTCGGGGGTGGGGCCGGGGACGTCCTTCCACCCGCCGCAGCTGGGCGTCCACTGCGCCTCGGCGAGGCACAGGCGAGGCCTGGCTGCGGGCCTCTCGTCCCCTGCCGGGCACAAGTTGGAGTGTACCTGGGTTCGGAGCCTCGAGGATGTCGCCTTTGGACCCACGTCTGTAGAGTGTCCCGTGCTCTGGGAGCCTCTGGCCAGGAGCTTCTGCTGGGCTGAGTGGAAGTCTAGGGGCTGAGAGCAGCTTGTAGAGGCACCTGGTGTCCCAACTGTCCGCCCAACTGTGGCTTTGTGCTAGTGTTTCAGCTCTGGACAGCGATGCCTGGTGGCTTATTGCCTCTTAAAGAAACGCTGCATCACAGAAGTCTAGCCCGGCCCAAAGGAGGTACTGGGAGTAAACCAAACCCCGAGTGCAGGGGACAGAGCCCTCTCAGCGGTGCCCGGCACTTAGTTGTGTGTGATGTGATTAAATACTTCTGGTACTCCCTTGGAGTTTTGTGTGTGGTGGGGAACCTCAGATCCCTTTTTCTACCTATTTCAAACACTCCTAAACTGCACCAAGAAAATCTAACTGCTCCCCCACTCTCCAAAACAGGGTTGATTTAGCCAGCAGGTTCAAGAGTTCCCATTACAGCCCCACTGACCCTTTAGGAATCTGCCAAAAAGTTTTAGAACTATCAGGGGTGTCTGAACTTTCGGTGAAAGGGATGCTTTAATATCTGTGTGTGTGTGTGTGTGTGTGTGTCTTGTGTCGGCAGGCTTACCTCTGTGCCAGTGCAGTGACAAGTATCGTGCTTCGTGTTTTTAGTGGGGAATGGTTCCCATGAAGGAATGCCCAAGGCAAGTCTTCTGTGGGTGACATCATGACTGGGTGTCAGCAGATGGGTGCACCCACAGCAGTGTCCCAGTCCAGCTCCCGTCTTGTAACATATTGCAGTGGTGGGCTTTGTGCCTTTGTCACATGTGAAAATGTCTGCCTAAGCCCCAATGACCAAGACCCCAGGCCGACGCTGAACTGAGGAGTGCCTCCCTGGGCTCCCGAGAGGAACTCCGTGCAACCGGCTGCTCTACATAGTGAACTGACTGTAAAGCAGCCTGCTGGGTATGGTTCTTTTGGCGGGCTGTTGGGTTTGTGGTTCTTGTGATTGAAGTCTTGGTAAACATGTATATGCCTGTATAGAGTGGATTGCCATCCCTTTCTGTTTTCTGGGTCCCAGTTTTGCAGCGGAGGTTTCTAGGCCTTGAAATAGAGCCATGCCTGCCTGCCTGCCTGCCTCATGCCTCTTGTTCCAGAGCCAACTTCTGTCTGGTTACAGAGGCGACCAATGTCACTAACCGTTTTTCCCCGGCCAGTTTGTACACACATCCTGCCAGCTGGCTGAGAGCGGTAGGGAAAGGATGCGTGAGTTCGTGCTGCCTGCCATCACTGAAGATAATCAAGCGCAGAGAACAGCCCTCTCCTTAGAAGTGCTGGAGAAGAGAGCAAATAGGAGTTCTTCAGTATAGTCCTGTGTGTCGAGTATCCCTGAGCATGGAGCCTGGAGACTGATGACAGAGGCCATCCATCTGTTTGTACATGTGCAGCAAGGGAGGGTCTCCCAGAACCCTCCTACAGTCTGAATGGGACATGTAGTGCAAGAGGCTCCAATAGAGGAGTAATGTGCTCTCGAATCTATGGCTTTCTAGGCTGGAACTTGGCAGTAGACCCCAGAGCTGTCTTAAGTTGTCCAGTACGTAAGCACTCTAATGTACCCCCTGACATGGTCAGCAAAGACAGGGGTTGCTGGGTCAGTTTTTTTTTTCTTGTGTGCTATTGTGTCTGTGTGCATGTTTCTCCTGTCTGTCCTGGGAGTGCTGGGCAGAGTCTTTTTGCTGGGTTTTCAAGAGAAAGGTCCTTCTCTGGTCTAGATTTGCTTGCTTCCTGTCAAGGTCTGATCTATACATGGGTGTGAGGAGAATACAAGTAGGTCTCTTAGGAAGGAGGCAGAGGGTTGTCCTCTTGCTTCTGCCCAGTGTTACTTGTGAGAAAGAGCCAGGACATTGTGGGTTTCTTTTGGTGCAGGCTAGGCCTTTCAGAGATGGGGAGGAGACAGTGTGTGGAGCAGGGCTTGACTTGTCCAAGCTTCTTTTTCTATTTTGTTTTTATAGTGATGGGTAATGAAATCCAGAACCTTGTGCATGCTAGGCAAGCACTCTGCCACTGAGCTATACCTTCAGCTTCCATATTCTTTAAAATGATCTTGGTTGTTTGAAGATGTTACATGTCAGACACTGTTCTAAGCATTAATGTTTGTGTTAACTTTTGGTAGTCGCTGGAACTCTTACTAGCCCAATTTTATAGACAGAGAAATTAAAGTAGAGAATGCTCTCGTAAAGGCTAAGTGACCAGGTGAGATTTCAGTCTTATGGGCCTGACTGATTTGGTCACTATACACCTTTGTTTGGATCCTTGTCCATCTGGCTGTTTAGTTTGGGCCTCAGAAAAACCTCATGTTACTCTGTTGGTTGGTTAGTTGGTTTTTCTAGACAGGGTTTCTCTGTGTAGTCCTGGCTATCCTGGAATGCCTTCTGTAGACCAGACTGGTCTCAAACTCTGAGATCTGTCTGTCTCTGCCTTCTGAGCACAGATTAAAGCACGTGCTACCACACTTGGCTTATAAATTGTTTTCTTAACTCTAGATGTGGAATCTCTGACTGCCTTTAGGTGATGGTACCAAACTTCTGCCATGAGACCCCCCAAAAAAGAATGAAAGAGAAAATAATTTAAAAGTCATGAAAAAGGTATGAAAAAAGGCTTTGCCTTTTCTGTTGCCTTCCCTGGCCTGGCTCATAGATCCTTTCCTCCTAGCAGTGGTGAGAGGTGTCTGGATACCAGGTAGTGTCCTAGCAGCAATGGCAGATCCTCTGCTGCAGATGGTTCTCTTAGCCATAGCAGGTAAGCCAGTGATAGCAGGTCCTCCTAGGGATGATAGTGATCCAGTAGTTGATTTTTCCACTGGTGGGATGAGCCTTTGACTATTGGAGAGTTCTTTTGCCTCCTCTGGTCCTTTGGTAGGTTTTTGATTCTGAAATGTCAGTGTCAATGTTCAGGAGCCAGTAAAGAGCCAGTGACCAAACATATGTCTACGTGTGCTTGTGGGTGCTGAGGACTTCATGACCTTTGGTTCCCCTCCCAGCCTGCAAAGCCCAGTTTGGGGTCCCAGACAACTGAGCAGCATGATGCTATGATTAAAAGTGTGGTTATTCTGTGGCAGCTGTGGTTTTGTTTCTGGCTTGAGCTACCAGCTGTCTTGGAAAGTTTAGTGGAAGCTGGTCATATTTTGCCTTGGCAGGCCTTGGTAGAACAAGCCCAGGCTGGAGTTCAATAGCTCAGAGGCCTGTGGTTATGGTGTAGTGGCTGTGGACATAGATGTCTTTGTACTTAGGTGGTAGAAGAGTCGAGTGTAACTGTTATTTTAGATGATCTGTCAGAATTAGAAGTTGACATAGTTTGTTATAGCAACTTGGGGAAGATAGGGTTTACTTCCTTTTAGTCCATCGTGAAGGGAATGCAGGGCAGGAACCAGCTTTCTTTTTTTTTTTTTTTTTTTCCCCCGAGGCAGGGTTTCTCTGTGATTTTGGAGCCTGTCCTGGAACTAGCTCTTGTAGACCAGGCTGGCCTCGAACTCACAGAGATCCACTTGCCTCTGCCTCCCGAGTGCTGGGATTAAAGGCGTGCGCCACCACCGCCCAGCAGGAACCAGCTTTCTTATATAACCTAGACCCACCTGCCTTAGGGATGGCACTGTTCACAGTGGGATGGTCTCACCTGCATTAACTAGCAATCAAGAATATGCTCTACAGACATGCTCACAGGCCAGTTGTGATGGAGAAAATTCCCTGGTGTGCCAG